AACGACGTTTGGTGGGAGTAAGTAATTTCTTTGTAATGTTTGTGTGGATAGTGTTACAATCGGCTGGTGTACTGAAACTTGTGTCCCATGTTTGGTTTGCTGTCGTTTCACGGTTTGTAAAGCAGCACTTATTAGGCAAAATTTCGTTCTTTCCTTCACTATTTAGACAAAAACCATGTCGCAAGTATACTCTTGAACGCAAGTAAATAGAAACCCAAACGATGCGACTATTTTTTTCACCGTTGACAGCCAGTGCCGAATTTGCTATTTTTCCATTCTATCTATCTTTGAATTGGATTGCCTCGAATCCTGTTTCTTTAAATCCCCGGTAAATATGTACACTTCCAAGAAATGAGCTACTGTTTTTTGTATTTACCTGCCATTGCAGCATTCCAAACTTCTGCATGGGCTCCTTCAAGTAGGTGTCAGTATCTTCAGCAATGAGTGGATTTTCAGCGTATAAGGCCCAACCTTCTGCAAATGCTGTGTAATAGTTTGCGCTATCAAGCCAAGCCATTATACCTCCACAGCTGTCACTGAAATGTTCCACATTACCCTGAACCTGTGAGGGAACAGGATAGATGTTATAACCAACCACTCACTGCAGATTATATCACGGGGAGATTCCCGTATGAAAGGGTCAGGGATGTTCGTCGTCTCGCTGAGGGGTATAAATCAAGGATTCTGGTCTCACTTAGCGTGTTTATGACAAAACGCCACTATTTTTAGCTCTCAAAGTATCTCTTAGGGCGCACTCGAAGAAATAACAATGAAAGAAACCCTCTTATCTCCGCTTTTAGCCTCGATTACTGCTGGTCTCTCATGTCTGGTCTACGAGAGTGGGCTCATTTCCTGAACAGCGACTGGTAATCTAGCCTATTCCGTTTTTTAGGAGTCAAATAAAGCTTTAGCCACACCCGGGTTGATCTATTTTAATTTAAATTTTCTGACGAGTATCCCCAGCCTTTTCATATAGGGGGCATATGGCAAGTTTTGGCTCATAATGTTTTAGTCAGGTAGATAAAAAATTGAGGTTAGTAAATCGTCGTAATGAATATCTACTGCGGCCAGTCCATTTTGCCAGGTGAAGTTAAGATGGGTCAAGAAACATTAATTACACTATCTAAACATTTTGGATAGGCGTTTCTAGGGATAAACAGGTTAAGAACCAATGATATCGTGCTACATCAAAAGCATCATTGAATCCTTGTCCACAATGGAGTTGATCGGTTCCTTTGATGCATCGTGATACGAATGATCTTGGCTAACTGATCCTGACCGGATCAATCCACAGGAAAGCACCCGCGAAAATATGCTCGGATATTTGTTCGCGGACATTATCTGTTCCGAGAAGCGAACAGTTTTCCGAGAGCGAAAACTGTGAGCTTCGAAGAACAGATGATGTCCAAGGACAAATATCCTAGCATATTTTCGCCCCAAATGGAGGCTATTGTGTTTATTATTCTTCAAATCTTTTTCGCAACGCGCGAAGTTTTGAAAATTGGGGAATATTCTCGGGTATTCCCCAGTTTTAGCTGGGGAATATTCGGTCACGTGACGCGTTTAGACCAATCGCGCGCGAGCGAAAATATTTGATGGATTATGAGTGGTTATATACCTTCGACCTCTCAGCGAATAAGTGCATGATGAATATTATTCTCTGTTCGAATGTCCAGACTCCTGGATATAAAAGACCATTTGTATTATCCCAAATCGCATTCCGTTAGTGATAATTATAAAAAATGGCATATTAAAATGGCCCCAGATATGACAAACGGTTATCCTAAAAGACGACTCGGTTTGCGATCTTGAAGAGTTAGCCTAAATCTCTCATGTTCGCCGTTTGTAATCCGTGTTAATCTTCTCAATCCTTAACCATCCTTGTTCTTTTATGGTTTATTGTTATCTCTTTGGTGTTTTTCTCTCTCAATAAACTACTAATTTCAGGTTTCCTTCAATTTAAACGTAATTTTTTACGTGGACAAAATAACTCAAAAGAGCGTGACTGAGCTCCTTTAAGCGGAGTTAATTCTACGCCTGAAGGAGTACAGTCTATCAGAAACTAGAAAACTTTTGCATATTTTGCGGCTGAAAGCTCAATGATAATTTCACTACGTCCATCACGGTTTTGTTTGACTATTTTTAAAAATTAAATTGTTGTTCACTTCTGAGCTTCAACCTTAGTCCATACCAAACTGATTAGATTATAATGTGAATAACCTGTGTATGGTGCCCAGGCCTCGCCTCATGAGCATTGACGCTCCATTCCTGGAACTTGGGACCTAAGTTGTCCAGGAAAAATGGAATATTGTATTTTGCACTTCGCGTGCAATCTGCATTACTCCCACTGTAGCTTTGAGCTCCACTTGATGGATTCATATCAGGTTGTAAATCAACTGGGCAAGTGGGCGTGGTAGCTTTGTCTCCAGTAAAGTAAAACATTGGAATTGTCTTCGGTTCCAGGAAGCTCATCACCTAGAAAGAACCAAACAACCAAATTTTACAAAGATAAATAAATAAAAGTTATTACAATATTTAGAGAGGAGGCCACACGGTTTTCATGCCGGTGCTCTCTCCTGGTCGTATTGGACTTTGGAGATGTTGGTTTTTGTGGAGGAAGGAAAACCGGAGAACCTGGAGAAAAACCCTCGGTGCTAGGCAGGAACCAACAACAAACTCAACCCACATATGGCACCGGGCCGAAATCGAACCCAAGCCACATTGGTGGGAGGCGAGCGCTCTCACCATTGTGCCATCTTTGCTTCCCAACTCCCTAACTGAGTTCACAATTTCTCACAACCACACCAAGGAGTGAAACAGCTTGTTCCATAAAATCATATCAGCCAAAAAAAGTGATTAGTAGTGCAAATTCTAAAAGCATGCCTGTGACGAACAGAGAAACCTGCCTTTCTTGATTCAGCAAACCACAGTTGAATGGCAGCCCAGCGTTTGGGACAATATTTCTTTGCTCCTTCAATGTCACTGCATTTTTTGTGTGCTTCTTCATCAGATTCGTTCTTTGGAATTGGTTCCGCATTAAAGTAACTCGAGGACGAGTTCAGGATGGCTCTGAACTTTGTTATGGCGGTGTTTTTGTCGCTTTCTCCAGTTACCTCTTTGGCAAGCTCCTCAACCTAGAAATATGAATTTCATAAACCTCCTCAGCCTCGGTAACCAAAGTTATTAGGTTGGCTTCGGTTTAATTCTGTGTATAACAAACAAAATACCGATTAACATTTAGGAAATAGAATTTAAAACATGTACCGTGTTTCTATCGAGTTTTAGTAGCATTCTACTAGTATACTAATGCAAATGCAGCAATCTGATTGGCTGAGCTACTCGTATACTATTGCCATTAGAATGAAGTAGCTGTCGGTCGTCCACGAAATGCGACGTTTTTATCGTTTTTCCGAAGTTTTGGAAGAAAGTTTAGATGTAAATGGATAATTATATTCCTGAGAACACAAAAAGAAAGATATAAACGGGTTCTTGACTTAAAAAACTTGAAATTATTGAAAAACCGGTACGCGCGCGTAAACAACCGCAAATTTACCAAGGACAATTCAATACATGCGATTCTGTTAAAGCGTAAAGTTCAATAATGTGTCGAAAAATATTTGGAAACCATTATTTGCATTAACTTAGGTTAGAATTCTACTAAAACAATTAGATTATGCGCTCCCGATTTCTATGAGGCGATACCTCATAGAAATCTCGAGCTCATAATCTAATTGTTAATTAGTATATATCCACTAGCGTTCTATCCCGAATTCTGTTCTCTGATTGGCAGTGTGCCCTTGTTAACAAAATGACGGCCGCTTCTTGGCGTTTTCGAAGTGTCTGTGAAGAGGGTTTACATAAAGTTTTGAGCGGCTAGTAGATTTATAGTAAAACAATTAGATTATTAGCTCTCAATTTCTATGCGTGGACGGTAGAAATCTCGAGCTCATAATCTAATTGTTTAATAGAAACACGATTTTAAACCAATCAGCGCACGTATTCTCTTTGGACTATTTACTAAAACAATTTACCTTAGGATAGTAAATGTCCAGCTGTTTTCTACCAAGGTCATGAACTTGTTTCGGGTTCATGGCGTTTGTTGTGAAATACGACATGATTTGGGAATAAGCCTGCTTTCCATTTAGTGGTTCACCAGTGGGCAGGTAAGGCTCTGTTGGCCAGGACGTGTTTTCTTTGCCATTGACCCAAACATACTTTAGTGGAAGGTTGGCCAAGCCGCTGGACACATTGCTCGGAACGCAGTGACGGATGTGTTCCACCTCCAAGTACCTAAAAAGGAAGCGAATGAATCATGTAGATTATTTAATAAAACTCATGTTCGTCAGAAACGCAGAAAAAATTTTTAGGTTTGGCATGTCTGTATACAGCATTGTATATTAGGAAATATTATTAGTACTAAGTAGTTTTGTTGTTATTTTGATGTTTGGTAACAAACGAGCCCTGTTTAATGTATTTATGGGTCGAATGAGTCTATGAATAATTATAAGAGGTCCTAAAAAATGCGTCATGTTACCTTTGCCATTCTGAGAGCTAATTATAACCAAGCTAACCTGATTTTTCGCACGCTAACCTGAGCGCTGCTCTGGCTGACTGGAGTGGCATCGAGGCTCACCGGAGCGTTATCCGACTTATCCAGACTATAAACCTATATTCAGGCGGAGACCACCTGAAGTGCTATTTAGACTAACCAGAGCGCCGCTCAGGCAAACCACAATAAAGTAATTTGTCCAGTGTAATATTAATCACAAGACTTCACTTCTAGTACCTTATCAACTGCTTGAGTGGTTCACCTAAGTACTCCACCAGGTATTTCTTTACAGTTTCGCTAACATTTTTTCCACCATGTGTTTTCTTCCATTCGTTATCAGTGTCTTCTGTGATGTTACTGTAGTAATCAGGGTCCAACAGGGGTTGAACAAACCATTCTTTTAAGACACCTGCATGTCGAGTTGGTGTAGTGTTACTTGACTTTAATTAAAATGGGCAAAACATTTTGCATTTGCATATATTTAAGCAAGTCTGTGTCTGCGTAATACAGCTTAAAGGAGCTCAGTCACGGTATTATGAGTTTTTTGTAGTATAAAATTGCCTTTAAATTGAAGGAAACCTGAAAATAGCCATTTACTAAGATAGAAAACACCAAAAGAGATAATAATAAACCACAAAGGAACAAGGATGGTTTAGGATGGAGAAGTTTGCCATGGATTACAAACGACGAAATTGAAAAATTTAGGCTAAACTTTTGAAGATGCGCAAACCATGACGTAGCTCCGTTCATGTACAGAATGACACTAAATGAGCCATTTGGGTCACGCGATTAAGCAGTTATCAGCTGTCCTTTACGCTCCAATAAGTGCCTCATACGGTGCAGGAATAAAACTTAAGTAAATACGAAAACAAATAAAGACAAAAGCAACAAGTTTTATCGAGAGAGATGACGGTTGCTGTGGCTAAATAACGCAAGAAAAGTTTTCAGCTCTTTTAGATGCCAGGAAATGTCTCTATCAGTTTATGTTTGTATTCTAATCCTTTCTCTCTTCTATGATAGTCGAAAATTTGATTATTTAGCACAATTGAATACTAGTTATGTGACACTGAAAATAAATTAAATATACAATCAGTTTTTACCTGATTCGTTGTATAAAGAAACGCTTCTGTAATTTCCTTTAAGAGCGTCAGTTCCAGCTTTACAGTCCTCGACACTTCGCACCATTCCTTTACGTACACCCATCTTCATATTTTCAATGTACTGCAGTATGCCTTCCTTATGAGTAATGAGTTTCGCTTCTATCAGCTCCACATCAAATGTGTTGTTGGGTTTGTGATACAGACCTAGCCCGTTGTAAACTCCATAGCCATGAACACAGATTGGCTGCCAACAAAACAAATTCGGTCCCATCATCCAATCCCCGGCGTAGTAATTCACGTCATACGGCTGACCGAACACATGCTGAAGGTAATGCTTCACTTGAGCAAGCGCTTTCCTCTCACGGGGTTTCAACGCGTCTGTGTTAATAACCTTATCCCTAATTTCTTTCAGCAAAGCTAGTGCGGCGTCTGTTCGTGTTTTGATGGCCTCCGGAGAAGGATCGTAAGCGACATATTCCACTTTAATCTTATCCTCAAGGACGTCTGGATCGGAATAGACCTGATATGGATGGAGCTTGTAATATGTCGCCTTAACACGACTGAGGAATTCAGGAAGTCCCGTATTCCGCGCCTCGTGAGAGAGAGAACATGTGGTCATGGGAGGCACTGGGCTAGAAGTTGGTGATGTTTGCTCTTCGTGTTTTGTGGAATTCTTGTCGCGATCGGCCGATGCAATTACAATCAACACGATTCCCACGATTAATGAGATTATTCCCACAGCCAGCACCGCAAGCATGATGAGTCTCTCTTTGGAGAGCTTACTTCCATGCTTCACTTTAGGTTCGTTCAACATCATGTCAAGCTTCTCGTCTTCATTGCTTGAATTCTGCATCATAACCTGTTGATGTATATCTAATAAGCCGTCGTTGTGCAAACGTTCTAAATCTGAGTTATTCAAGATCAAACATTTCACTCAGTCTGTCTTCAAGCGGCGGCTTTTTTCTTTGCATTTAACCACATTGACACCTGCCAACAAACGAACAAAGGTGTATTGTCATTAGCCGTAGATAAAACAAACGGGAGTTTAATAATGGATTGTTTTCGCCCACTGAGCTTAGCCATTCTGTGCATAATAGAATTTTTAATTCTGACTTAAAGAGTTACTAAACACATAAATTTGACAGCTGTTAAAATAATGATAGCATAAATTGAATCCAGTGGAGTGCAATTTGGTCTCAAATCATACGCTTGATTTCAAAATCGAACTTGCGTGTAGCCTGCGAACGCAGACGTATTTCCTGCTGTCGCTTGTCTCCGCCGAAAATAACGTCTGCCAACCCGAGCCAAGAAACGATTTCTGTGACGTAATGACTTTTGTTTCTCTTTCGCCAATCAGATTCCATGATAGAATGAAACTCGAGTGCTCCTCGCAGC